TACTTAGGAACTATCTTCTTCTCCCACTAGTTTATAAGAAAAGGGATGATATTATTCTCTTTGGATTCTCTACAAGATGAGTCAAAAAAAATGTTTGCTTAATCAAATTAAACTTCTTAACCTTTGACAAGCTTTATCATCGCAGAACAAAAATTTCCTATCTAAATGTTTTTTGGATGAAAGAACAAGTCACAAAGCAAAGTTTAATCTTCCCAATGAGAGTCATTAGAAAGAAATTGTATCTAAGCTTTCAAACTCATAAATACCTTTCCAGAGGTCTGAAATCAGCAAGTCTCTTAAACCACTACTTTTTTCACATAAGCTTGAAATTGTGAATACATAAAATAAAGCTATAAATGAAAGTAAGTTAAGAAGGTTTAACTAGTAACATCTAACACTACAGGCTAAATATGGTACTTTTTCCTGCATAGTTTTGAAATACAGTCTCAAAAAATCATTGGGCACTAAATTCCATCCTACAAAACTTTTAACCTCTACCAGTAACACACAGGTTACACATTTAACCAACACTGATCCCTAGATCCAAATTGTATCATTCATCTCCATTAAGCCCATATGTAATTTTATGTGTGTGTGGGTGTGTGTGTGGGTGTGTGTGTGTGTGTGTGTGTATTCTCATGCTGGTTTTAGCTCTAAATAATTTTCTAATGAAGTTAAATCCTTTATATTTTTAAGTCTTTCCCTCTTTCCACAGTTCCATAAGAAAAAGAAATAACTCATTTTCAGAACATTTTCAATATTTCTTTTAGTGGGGAAGTGCAAGGAATAAAAACCTTTATTGTCAATACTGTCGATATTTTTAAATAAAAAGTTATACCTAGTATATTTAACACATAATAATGCAGAGCAAAGAATTATACAGAAAGTTATACCTAAGGATTTTTTAATACCCAAACTGAAACAAATCAATACTTACCAACAAATCTCGAGCAGAGATTATGTATTATAAAGCATACATAGTAATATCTTACTATAAATGTCATTAGGAAGTAGTGTCCTACATAACCGGGTAAGGCAGAACATGGGAATACACCCCCTTACCAATCAGGCCTGGGCTAAAAATCTTTCTAAGACTCACTGTAGAATCCAGAACACAACTCACTGTGAAATGCAAAACTAACTGTATAGTGCTTTCCTCAAAGAGTCCATTTTGTGTTCCCATCCTATTTGTAGATTTCCATTTTCTTTTGTGGGGTTGTTTCCAAATGTCCTTTTTGTGTCAACCCTTGGCAAGCCATTTTGGGATCATTTAGTGCACCCTTAACACAGCTCATGCAGAGTCTGGGTCTAAAGGATACTTGAGCCAAGTGTATGTACTGCTCAAAGACTTCTCTGTACACCTCAACTACTCATTTTCTGCCCCGTTCCAGAGAGCTGAGACTGATAAATGATCTAAAAATGTTACTATACCCCAACTCCCCAACTGCTTTAGCATATTCTCTAGGGTTAAGTGCACATTCACATATGTGACTACAACCACTAGATTTCAAACAGCTGTAGTGAGTTCACTATTTACTTTTTCAGAACTTTTTCTTTGGAAAGTACTTTTTACTAACATGTAAACACAAGTTTCAAAGAAATTTCCACATTCAATGTAAAAGAAATATTTTAACTTATGGTACTCATAGGAATACCCAAAAACCAGTACCAGCAGAAGAAAAATTTTCAATTTCTTGCAAATTTTTCTTTGTGTATAGTCTGGGTTATTTTAAATCTTCATTATGAAATTAAAGGTAGTCAGGTATATGAACAGAAATGACTATAATGCTGGTTGCAGTAGATTTTTCTGTTTTATTCATATATCGGTTTAACAGGTATGTTGATTTGTAAGGGCAAAATGGTATGTGAGGTTTTTTTAAAGGGTGCTTGGGAGCAACTTTTAAATAGTGGCAATCAGTATACATCACGAGGCACACACAAGTTTCAGTAATATTCACATTTAAGTGCTGTTAAAAGTACAAATATTTAGATTTGGAAATTTACCACTTCTTGACACTGCTGCCTAAAAGCAGCCACAATTATGTCTAACCAGAGGCATGGCATGACATTACAAGTAACACACACACACCCCAATAAGGGGTACCTTTATAAGCACTATATCATGTATATAAAGATACAACACATTTTTAAATGAAATACAATTATTTCCTAGAATGGAATCAGACATTTTGTCTAACCATACAAAGATAGAACTTTGTATTATTTGTACACTTTCTGAATAAAAAAAAAAAAGGATATGAACTTAGAAAAACCTGAATGCTATGAGACTTCTGGTTCAGGAAAGTATCTTCTACTCTTTCATCCAAAATTGTTTTTAAAAGGTCTTGTTTTGAAAAGACTATTTCCTTATGTTCAATTTGCAAGTCAAGTTAAGAAGCATCTACAGTCTAAAAATTCAGAATAAGCAATTAAATAGAACTCAGATGTAGGTTGTTTTAATTGCTTAAGTCATTTTTAAAGCATACGGTAACTTGACATTTTAAAGTATTTACAATTACATTCCAAAGAAATGCTAAAGTGCTTCACATTCTGCCTGCAAAATGGCAATCATTTAAAAAATAACTTTTATATCATCAAATAGAAGATCAACATTCCCATATAAATTGTTTTTTAAATTCCCTAAGTTGGGCAGGGGAAACAGAAAGAAAACGAAAAAAGATATTAAATGAGAGAAGTACTTTAGAAATGCCTGGGCCTTAAAAGGAAGAAGGAAAAATAAAAAAAACCCAAGCCTTTCCTGGCTTCAGATACTTTCATTAGAAAAACAACAGGCAGGGTGGGGAGGGTGCAATGAGAGAGGAAATTTTAAAAGGCATTGTCTAGAAACTAGAAATGAGGAGAAAACAACCTCAATGCTCTATGATTACCCAAGAACGGGTTTAGCCAGATGAACAAGTCTGTTACAAACCCTCCCCAAGGCATCTGAAAGACTATCAAACAAAACTTTATTAAACTGGATTAAATGGTCTCACTCATTAGATGTTGATGACCACACGTTTATGGTCAGGTGAAAAAAGTTGATGCATGGGACCCAAACTAGGCCTAGGTCCTCTTTTTAGTTTGTTTTTATTAGTACAAGCATTGTTAAGACAACCTACTATTAAATTTCTTTGCCAGCAGGTCAAGTTCCAGAATTGCAGGTATAAGCATTCAGAGCACTAAACCCTGACTTGCAGGGGTTGCAAAGGCCATTTAGATATGCTCTGACTACATCCCTGCAATAGCCCTTGATTACATCTCTATATGCAATTGCACCCCTCTTTTATTAGGAGACTTTAACCTCATGAAAAACATGTTCCCTCCTATCTCTCCTTTCAAGGACTTTCAAAGAAGAAAAACAATAGTCTGAACATTTCAAAGTTACTTTACTTCCCCTTAATCAAAAGTCAGGTAAAAAGCTGTTTCCAATGTTTTCTTCCTTAACATATATTCTACTAAAGGATATTTTAGCATTTCTAAATGTAATGTGTTCTTGGCCTTGTCATTTGTATTTTGAAAACTTTAGACTGAGTTTATTCTACTCTTAGTAGGTGTTTGTTGAACTATATGAACTATAAATATAATTTCTACTTTGGGCTTCTTGCATAGGATCTTTCACTTGTTATAATCAACTTGTCTACATCTAAAAACAGCAGGCAAAAACAACCCATTTCATTGATAAATACAGGCGATGTTTTTTCTTTAAAAGCAGTTTTTCAGAAAGCCCTGGAATCGACCATGTTGTTGCCAACACTATTTAGGTTTTAATAAGTAGTGTTGATCACTGGGATAGCAAGCAACACTGCACAGGCATACAAAATGTCTGCAGCCTTATTTCTCTTAGTGCTGTGTCTCAGCACTGACCTTGGTTCAAAGCCTTTTGCTTTTTAATGCAGCAGTTAGAGATAACTACTTCATTTATCAAAACTCAATTTCCATAGTAACATCTAGCCTGGGGAGATTTAAGTCCTCACACTAATCCAACAACCCATTCAAAGGAACTGTTGAATACTCTGGTTTCCATAGTAATGATGGAATAAAACATTTTGCTAGGTCATTGCTTTTATTAGCAAACTTATTCTTTGAACTTTAGGTAAGGCTGTGTTTAATGAGAGAAAATAAAACATAATCACTTTGTATAAGTTCTTTCCTTTAAAGCTGCCTTTTAACCAAAATCATAAATAGTAACCATCTATATGTTTGAAAATGTTCTGGGTATTTGGAGGTTTCGAAAGTACACCACCTAGTTTCATCCTAAAATGGGTTCTGATACAAAGTTTTCAAATTAAAAAGCGTTTAAAGGTGATTATATACATGACATAATAAATACTTTATAACATTTTTATTTTATTTTATTTTATAAAATTAAAGGGGCTACATTTAAAAGCACACTTTGAAAAAGAATGAAATATAAGCTAGAATAAAGTCTCTCAAACGCATCAAATGTGGGCTGGGGCAGGGTGTAGAAAAACTTTTAAACCATGACCCCTCATCTGTCTGATTTTAATACTGTGCAATTTCAGCTCTTTCATCACGCACAGAAAACATGCTAAACATTGATATTTTAGGTAAAGGTAACATATTAAGCAGTTATGCTTTACATGCTAAATGGAAAAGTTTTTAGTGTTTAATATAGCTTTACAGAAGCCAACTGATTTGTTAAAGAAAAAATGAGTTACATTTTTTCCCTTCATGATAAGAAATAGCAGTGCCATTACAAGTTTTAAAATCCATTAGTAAACATCGTTGTTTACATTTTTGGGTAATTAATTCTATGTAAGGTGACAGGGCAAGGCCTTAGTGAGGGAACATAAGCCATCCTGGAACCAGACTTTTTCACTGAACTGAATTTTGAGCCAAGCCAGGGCTGAAAAGGTAGGCCATTAAAAAATAAAAGTTGACAGAAGAAAGAAGAGATCAAACAAGTGTTGGCTTTTAAAAGGATGAATACCACTTACGCTATTTACACAACTCGCAGAATTAACAAGAAAATTACATACCAGTATGAGTCCTCAGGTGAGCTTTTAAATGAGAAGACTTCGTATAAACTTTTGTGCAGCCTAAAAATAAAGCAGGAGAGAAACAGCTTGTCATTTTGGAGATCCTTTGAAACCTTTACATTTGATGATTCAGAGTTTAAAATCTGGCTTTAAAGAAGAAATCTCTCATGCTAGGTATCTGAAGCTTCAGTTTCAAAAAAGCACTCCCCTATTACCTTATTAAGGGTATTAAAGTGATTTGCTTTATGTATGTTATCACTTTAGCAGAAAGAGGATAATTAAGCCAAGCTACAAATGGGAAATGTGTTTATATTCCAGTAGGTGCTTTATAGCAGTAACACATACTTCAGCAATATAAAATTTTTAATGGCTCCAGAGCTGACAATGTTAACCATTATCCAAGATGACTGCCATTTTCTGTTCTCCATTTCTTGTTTTTTGTTTTTTTTTTCATTTAGTATGTCATGTCATATCATGTACCATAGTCAATAAATTATACCCTGTATTATTCATAAACTAGCTTATGCCAGCAACTTGCAGATATATTCATTACCGTCATCAGTTAATATTTTGGGCCACATATCTCATTCAAGAATGAGCACATGGCTCATATGCTATCAGAACTACCCTTAAATCTATTCTGTAGACAGTTTCATCTTATAGCAGCCCACTAAATCCCCACTTCATTACCACACCATATTTTCTCCTACCTTACTTAAGTAATCTCTTTTCAGGGTACTTAATTTAGAATTAAAAGCTCCAATTTATGATTAGAGATTGTTATGGGAAACAAAATAACTCAAAATTCTAATTTTTATTTACTATTAAAGAGAAAATATCTAAGTAACTTTTTCCCAGAATATTCTAGCCTTTTTCTTTTTTAACATCAAACAAGCACCAGACAAACGGTACATACTGTTTACGGCACTGAGACTGGGATATGAAAAGAACAAAGGTGATTTTTATTGTCAAGCACTACTTTCCTATGTCAACTTTGTAAATTTAAAACTTGAGTTTGGAAAAAGGCACACACACAAACATGAAATGCATGATGCTTCAACCAGGTAGGATCACATACCAGGGTAATCGCAGTAGTGGATGCGTCGTTTCTCCAAATCGGGGTTACTCCTTCTGTTGTATCTGACAGGTTGGATGTTTTGCGAATTAACTGGCAGGGTAGCAGGTAAATTTGGATTGTGAATTGCCAGTTTAGAAGCAATTGTAGCAGCATAGGATGGAGGTGGTGTTAAATTCTGGAGCATCTCTGCTTGTCTATCTGGACTTCCAGGCTCTGAGCTTGGTGGTGACGGGGGAAAGTAAGTGGCCTGTTGTGGAAGGAACTGACTTGGCATTGTGTATGTGCAAGGGGGCATGCCCTGGAATTGTTTCATCGTAGTCTGCGGAACAGCAGAGGTGTGTGTGTTAAGGCCTGCCATGGCGGCTGACATAGAAACATTGAGAGTGTCCATTACTGCTGTCTGGTTTGTAGAACTGGGCATATCTAGATCCGGTGTATTCAGTAGCTGGTACAGATGGCCCTGCGGGGGGACAGAAAGATGAAGATCTGGTGTAGGAAGTTCTTGTTTGATGAAAATATTGTTCACCTCTGGAGCTGCGGTCTGGTGTGAGCTGAATATACTGGTGAACTCAGGGAGGGCCTGGGTTGGGGCCGGAGGAGGGGCAGTCGTTTCACTCTGGTGGCTGAAAATGGTAACAGGTTCTGTCTTGATGTGTGTTACACACGGTCTCTGGGATTTGTAGAGGCCAGTTCTCAGGTGAGTGATGTCAGGGAGGAAGACGTTCATGTTGATACTGTAAGGTAACCCTTCACTGTCAGTGAAGAACTGGTCTACGACTGAGGCACTGTCTCGTCTATACTTTTTATGCTCTGGAATTATAGAAACTGGAGGAAGCTGAGGTGTCAGATACTTCTCCATTTCACATCTTGTCTAAAAAAAAAAAAGAGAGAGAGACAAACATGCATAATCCACCTAATTCATCATTTCAAGGACAAACAAAAGGTGCTTACTAAAAATTCCCCAGTGATCCCTGTGAAAAGTACTTGGGCAAACTCGTAAGTGTTGCTTATAAACACGTATCAGGTTTGTCAATTGTGTAATAACTGGTTCACCAAAACCTTACGAAACTCTGTAAAACATGTACTTGGTAAAATCGCTCCCACAATCAACCGGACAAAAAGTGAATGAGGCAAATCAAGAAAAAAGGAAGCAAACAGAAAACACACTCCTTTCTGACTCAAGAATATAGCACACCTTCTTGTCACTCATATACAAGCAGGATTCCCTGCCCCATGGCACAGTTAAGTTTGCACCTGAAGTCCAGTATTATAATATTGCGAAGCTACCTCAATTCTGTTCATGTCATACAGGTTTTTAGTGTGCGTGTGTTTTAACTAAGGAAACCTTAAATATGATATTGCAAAGTTGTGAGGTGGTGTTTTTTTTTCTTGGATAGATATTGCTGAAATATCTAATATAAAACATATTCCTTGGCTATTTCCGTGTCTTTTTCGGTTTGCAGTTCAATGGAAACCTACATACAATGTTTTGATCAAAACATAGTATCTACTGAAAGAACAAGCTCACGCTCAACATTTGATCTAAACGTTGATTTTAATCAGCAGATTCTGTAATTGGTTAATATGATAATGAAACGTTCCTATTCATATCCCTATCTAAAACAGATCTTTAATTACCTAGGGGAAAATCACTCCCTTGGTAGAGTGGTGCTAAGGAGCCTGTGGGTGGGGAGAAGCTGCCCTATGGCTAGCACAGTCATCAGCAAAACATTTATCATGTACTCCTCAGTGGGACAGTGCTACATTCCCCCTTACTCTGTAAAAAGCTCAGTCATACCTTATACTCTTGGTGTCTCCGAAGCAAAAAATTGATACACTGAAATAACCAAATAGTTTCCAAGTGGTGATTTTTTTAAAGAACATAATCCAGCTTGTAGCAAGTCTTAGTCTTTTTACAACTATCTTCTCTCCTAGTATAACAGAAACTTAACTCCTCTTTTAGCACCGAAAAGGAAAATTATAAAGAAAAAAAAAAAATACACCCTAACTAGATGGCTCATTGAACGATTAACCGTGACATCTTAATCGGTGAATAATACAGTCATTTTTTGCTACTACTTAATTCCAGAAGTATTTCAAATCGGACCTCGTATCATTCTGTGAGGATGCAGACGCGGTTTACCGGATAAACATGATTTAAAAATAAAAATTAACAGTCTGATCATGTGAGTCATATCTCTGACAAATGCCACTGTGTCCTTTCCTAACACGGCGACACTCGCAGACCCCCCGGCGTAGGAGCAGAGTAGCAAATATTCCGTATACCGAGGGGCTATTAAATGAAGCGTCTTGAAATAAACCGAACTAAACCCTCTCGTGCACTTCGCTCCCGTGATGGTTAGTGGTTTCTGATTTTAGCTCTTCCAGCTGTTTGTGTGTGGGTATGTTTCCAATTTTTTTTTCTCCTTGGGACAGGCTAAAAGTCCCGGGAAGTTTTTTCTGGGCTATATGACTCCCCTGCGTGGGCGAAAGAAACAGGCGGTTGCTCTAATTCGGCTGCCGGGCAAGTGTAAAAGCCAACTGCCAGCTTTCAACGCGGCTCCCCGAGGAAATTTACGCGCACATGAAGAAAACAACACCCGGCTTTCTTTTTAAGTAAAAAAACAAGCACTCCAATACAACCTCTGCTTTTCAGGCCTCCCAAAGGCAGCCCCACGATCGCGCCTAAAGCAGGGTGAGCCAACAGGTAAGAAAATAGGACTCCGGG